ATATATATATATTGTGGGAAGAGACATTATAGTCTTTGTGCATGTACTGCGGGAGTGTCGCTGATGGAGTACATCTATGGTATAAGTAACGAGTGATATATGGGTATCCTTTTTTAATTCCACACGAGCACAGAAGTAGTAATCAATAGAAGCTCTCCTGTAGCTAGAAGTACATATCACGCCTGTCCAGTCTTGGTGCACACAACGCCGAATAACTATCGCAAGACACATATAAGGTGCTATTCACCATTACTGTGTGGGCATTGGGGCCTCGCCGTGAAGTTAGATGTGTCCACGATCACAATCTGCTGAAGTGTTCTTGTTGCGTACATATTGCATTTTGCGTTCGTCGCTGTAACCTCATCCACCGAAAAGTAAAGTAAAGCGCCTGGTTCTGCGTTAACAGGTCAATACTAGAGTATAAGGGAACATTTCAGTACTAACTAAACCGTTATCGCCGCGTTTATATAGGTGTTTCTAACTATATATCGTACACAATCGATGCAGTACATTGGTTATGTATTTATTGGCATTTCGTATACGCTTCGTATGCAGCCATCGAAAATATATTTAGCGATCTTGTAGGTGCAGGTCTTATGCAAATAGGCCCTGAACTGTTGCTCTTCATATCATATTTTGTAAAAATAATTTAGATCTAAAAAATATCTGGGGCCACTGACGTCTGGACGGTCTGACTGTCACTGAGCAGTGAGTGACCATGCAACTCTCTCACCGCCGGCCTCGCTCCCACTACAGTATAGTGTATACAGTCCAGGACTGAAATAAAAACTTGATACTAAAATATAAACTTAATAAATAAAAATAAATAAATAGAGCGATCTGTTGTGTGTTAAAATTTAAATAGTAGTGTATAGTTTAGTGGGTGCTTATAGCAGTGCGCTTAGCATCTAACAATAACGCTTGGAATTATGTCCACCACCCGACGAAAACAGCCCAAGTGGGACTCCCCTTCGACAGCATCGAGTGGATTGCATCTTTACAACACACTCACGCGTGAGAAGGTATGCAGATAAGGACATCGATAAACAATTGTACCCGCAGTGATCAGTATTGTATCTTCTCAATGCACTAGAACGTTTTGTATCTTATGTGAGTAAAAAAAATCAATTGTTGGTATGAGCGATAAGTGCTTGAGATCTCACCTGCGCAGCTCGAAATCATACATGTATATATTGAAGCTTTTGCCGGGTGTGCCCGTAGAGGGACATGACAGTGTATGATTCAGCTCCTTATCATGTCCACAGCACGGTTAGACAAGGATTTATACTGTCCAAAGCATCATGCGTTTGTATATCAGCTGCAGATTGTGTATACGAATGCGAGCGTATAAATGCTGTTTAAAGTGTGCCTATCACTCGTGATAAATGCGTATATATATATATATATATATATATAATAACAACAACACACACTATTATATATATATATATAATAATATATATATATATATATATATATATATATATATATATATATATATATATATGTATATTATTATTATATATATATATGTATGTGTGTGTGT